CTGGATAGGATGTTCCGATTCACGGTGTCCGGAGACCACTTTCCTCGATCTAAATCCAGGCGACGTCTTCGTGCATCGCAACATCGCCAATGTGGTGAATAGCCAGGATGTCAATTGCGCTGCGGTGGTGGAGTATGCGGTGTGTCATTTACGGGTTAAGCATGTGGTTGTTTGTGGACATACGTGCTGTGGCGGGGTTGGGGCTGTGTTAGCTGCCCCGAAAGGAGATGGGAATGGGGATGGGGATGGGGAGAAGAGTGTGCTGGATGCGTGGTTGAGACCAGTGAAGAGGGTTAGGGATAGGCATGCGAGTGAGTTGGGGGGAATACATGGGGAGTATGAGAGGGGGGTCAGGTTGGTGGAGTTGAATGTGTTGGAGGGGGTGAGGGTGTTGAAGGGGATGGGGGTTGTGAGGGAGGCGGTGGAGAGGGGGGAGGTGCAGGTTCATGGGGTGGTTTATGATGTGGGTTGTGGGGTGGTGAGGGAGTTGGAGGTGGAATAGAGCAGAGTTATTTCTGTGAGTGGGGTGGATGTTGTACTGTACTATATTGTATATTATCGAGTGGTTGGATAGATTTCATGGTTGCATTAGAGATTTAGTGGAGAAGTGAGAACAACTTACTAAGTTCAAGATGCTAGCAGGATCTTATGATATCATGATAGAGCCAGTTTAGTGCCTGCTGATTGTCTAAATGAGGCTGGTTATACTATCTGTGTATATGGTGCGATTACTTGCTCGCTGTGTCTGACTGGGTTCCCAAAGTCGTATTTGGGGTACAGGAATAGTATGATGCCAATCGACACAAGTATATATGAAATATATACTCTGCACGATATCAAAGAAAATATGAATAAAGCAAGCTTTGGAGAACAATCTCTTGTTGTCAAATCAAATTCATGGAGTGAACTTGTTACTGCGGAACTTGAGATAGTAACAATAGTAGTAGCAAATATAGAGCAGTTCGCGGTGGTGCCACCCCACAAAGTACCACTAGTACCATACAGGCTAATCAACTTCTAGAACAAGGACAGAAAGACTACAGAACAACCAAAGAATAATCTAACTGACCACGCTGTGCAAACCTGATCATATGATGTATCACATTCCCGAGTGATGTTAAAATGTTGTCTGACTCGCGCATAAATTGCGTCCCCCACTGCAGCCGTTAAGGCTTGGCGTTGCTTAGCCCAGCAATAAATTAAAAATCTTACCCTGCTTCTATGAGCCCACTCTTGCTTGTAAAGATATTGGATCTCTATATGTGAATTTTTTGTAGTATTTATAGTTATAAACATAAAGGAAATTTATGCAAAGAATGTGGTATAAGAGACCCAAACTCCAACCATCTAACAAACCAACCTCCCAACGCTAATCATACGCCACAATAACCTGCCGACTAACAAGAATATCCGTGTCGCCCGGAGGAGTCCCGTCCGCAAGAATCTGCTTCTGACTATCTCCATCGCTCATCTGACTAGGTCGTCGCGTATGATCGGGTACCGAGGTAGTGGTGATCTTGTTGGTGTGCTTTCCCTGCTCAGCCAGCTCGTAATTGCGAGAATACAGGTTTGCCGGTCCCGTGCGCTGAGAGCTGTAGTATCCCCGGGAGTTGTATCGGTTGTTCGACGATGTCTTGCGGTCGCGGAGGATGCGGAATAGTGGGCGCAGCGTCGCGACGTTGCCGACGATCATGCCCAGGGCGTTTTCGGCGAATCCCCAAATCACCACGTTGGTGACGCTGTAAAGGTAGTTGGATTGGCTGGTTAGGGCGACGGTGTATTTGAGACGGACGCAGGCGGACATAGAGGCGCTGTGGAGACCATTAGTTAGTTCATGCTCACCAGGGTGTAAATAAATAAGAAATTGTTCTTACAAGACACCCAGGCCCATTAGGCCGACAATCGAGATCTTGGTGTTGCGGTTCAGTTGGACATTCCATAGGAGAGGTACAGGCCTGCTTTAGTCAGTGGAATTCGATAACAGCTGGAAGTGACCGTACATGAAAGCCGTCACCCAGTCAGTGAGAATGTTAACAGCCGTGCAGGCGTAGTAGACATCGGCCAACACGTAGGATGGTTGGCAGTGTCCTCCCTTGGCGAGTAGTGAGGTATCCCAGGCCGCCCTGTAAAGTCAACCTCGGTTGTTACGCTCGGATAGGTCGGGTGTCGTACTCAACAGGGATGCAGTTAATCAAAATAAAGATTAATGCGATGATATTCATCAGCACAAAGACAACAATCACCACGTATTGCACGTAGAGGTACGCTTTGCGACCCTCGGCCACTCGGATCAACATCCAGCTGATACTGAGCTTGATGGGAATAATGGCAGAACAGTAACCGACTTCGAAAATGAGGAAAAACTGGAGAGTCAGTCCTATGTAGCTGAACATATTTGCACAATTCCTACCTTCTGTCCTTCTCCTTGGTATTTGACATTCTGTGGCTCTGCCAATACAGAATCACGAATACCAATGCCATTGAAAGCACCACCAAGACATCCAGCTACTAGCACGGCGAAAGGCACCTTGGAAAATTAGCCACCAGTGAGACCTTCGAGGCTCTCAACCCACCAATGCAGCCGTCATGATCCAATCCTCCACACTCCATGATTTCCTGGTCACTCGGCAGTAAACCCGCAGGCCATAAGTCAATAACGCCAGCGTTGTCAACATGATGACACTGCCCGCCAGCGAAGGCGCTGCACCACCGTAGATGGCCATGGCGTCACGATTGAAAGCAGAGTCAATATCAGCCTTGTGTTGCAGACAAGGACATGGGTGTCAGACATAAATTTGAGGCAACATGGGGGAGTGGACATGAGTGGGGAGTTAATACGGTTATGTTAAGTCGCCGCCATCATGGCAGCTGCGATGAAATTCCTGCTAGTACCTGGTCTAACACTCTTTAGGGATATCGTCGAGCACGCCGAGACAACTATGGCTCGTGGCACGGAGTCGCCATCTCTTCCACTTCGGTAGCCGGGAATACGAGAGCCCCCCTTTGCTATCTAAACCTTAAGTGATCGCCCGTTTGGCTTGACAAACGGAGCCCATCTAACTGTATTCATGCGTCCCCACAGTTGCGCTAACGTCCGACAGGCTAAAGTCGATGCCCTGACTCGCTGGTGCGATGCAAAGGTTTTCCCGGAGAGTGGATCAGGACTGCCAACAGCATGCGTACCCTCGGATGACACACCGCTGTCGCCATGATCTGCCAATCTAGAACTCCTGAAAACGGAGAGGGTCGAACATTCTGCGACCCTCATTTGGCCGCAGGGGAGGAACGGGGAAATTACTGATAGCGATTGTCCTGGAGTGGTCTTCGGCGCCTTGGCGGCTTCTAAGCGAGATGTCCACTCCACGTTCATTTGAGCATTACTGCGTGGAGGTCGTATTTGCCACAGAGGCTAAGAGTCCAGCTATTCTGACTATTGAATTGGCAACATAACCTGGGATAAAGAAAGCGCTTCGCAAGAGAAAATTGAAGGGGAGATGGAATTGCCGATAATCGCCGGGAACCCTAAAGGTAGTCCCCGCAATTGCAAGTCTGACGCACTAAAGCAACAAAAACTGGGTCTCCCCAACCGGATGGAAGGAATTGATTAGGAAACGACGAGCGCTGCAGGGAGAAAGCATGACTCGTCGGGCAACTGCTAGCTTGCAACACAGTAGGACAGACTCGCAATCGATTCCCTACATCCAGTTAGACAGGAAACGCCTGTCCCGTCCAAACGCCATCAGGGAATTCCGATTGCCCTCATCCCCACTGCTTGCGACCGAGCGCCGATCAAGGAATTCTTGCCGATTGGTATGGAGGTTGACCGGAAAGCTGCCAAGGCATCCAATTCTGGGTCGATGACTTACGCACACAAAACAAATAAATAGACTTCTTACCTCTCCATCCGTCCCAAGAGAAGAGTCGGGGAACCCGAGCTGTCGGCTCCCATCTGCGCGGGATTGACAATTGACATCCTCTCTTTGGCTAATTGCCCGATGGAAGAAACTAACCCACTACTAGTTATCCTTGGATCATAGATAACCAGTGGATGGCGGCTAATTTCCTGCAGGGGCACCTACTAGTCCATCTGTAGGGCGTTCAGGGGCTGCTGTGTGTGTGTGTTTGGGACGGGAGGAGTCACAACTGGCGGGGGAACCGGAGACTGCGCGACCCGAATCCGATCCATGGAACGACTGTTCCAGGGAAACTGCGTGAAGAGCTTTATTTCTCGTGTCGGTCGTCTATGGGCAGGATGCCATATGCTACATGCTGCATGCTGCTATGTTGCTACCAAGCTTTGTGCTCCATGGCGGCGCAGGGCACGAGCCAAAAAAACCTGCGTCTGTGGTGAGCTGGTTAGACGTGGATTTTCCTTTTTTCTGATCCTCAATAGTCGATTTGTACGGAGTTCAGCATCTACATCTCCCCGGGCCGCGGTTATTGATCCGTTGATCGACAGGCATCACGGTCTCGAGTCGGGGTCGATTTGTGTGGATGATCTTGAAGCTATATATAGAACTTGACGGCTAAAGGAGGAATAGGGGTAACTAAGCACTCGGAATCTTCTCCCCGGAGTCGCCTCCACACAAGTTAAGGAGATATTGTCCGAGTCAAAGGAGAATTAAGTATCACGGAACCGCATTCGACGATCCCTGGATGAGTGTTGGGTTTGCTGTCGGTGGATGGAATCCGTCGTCGCGTTTCCACTTCCAGTATCTACACAGTAGGAGAATGTCCGGCCTGCCGGCAGGTATACTACAGAATGTCAAGTTTGATCCAGACATCCATGCTATTGGGCGAGTCATAAAACAATTGTGATATAATGTCAAGGTGACAGGGATTGATGTGATGGTTGGTTTTTGCCCGATGGCCACTAATTGCAGCATGTAACGCGACGCGAGTCGCGACCGGATAACCTCTACACGAAGTTGAACTTTGACATCACATCCTCCTCTATCTCGGCACCTACCACACCAACTCATGCAAGTAACAGAGGCAATATGAGTTCATGTTCGGATGAATTGCTCGAAGATGATGGCCACCTTGACCTCAAGCAAGAACTCTTGTTCACCTTGGACACCATCCAATCTTCCGGATCCTTCTTAGCCGGGAAAGCTTCGCTGGGTCTTGCCTTGCCTGGCCTGGACCTTCCAGGCGTAGGCAACATTCGACTTCCCATCTCAGCCGATGATGCAAAAGCCATCATCCAGTGTTGTGATCGCAGTCCCTACGGGAAAGGTTCCGAAACCCTGGTCGACGAATCCGTCCGCAAAACATGGCAGCTCGACCCTGGCCAGTTCTCCCTTCAAAATCCCTACTGGCAACAGCAGATTGGTATTCTGGTGAATGACGCCGTCACCGGCCTGGGCCTGACCGCTCAATCGGAGGAGGTCAAGGCGGAGTTATACAAGCTACTGATTTACGAAGAAGGCGCATTCTTCCGCCCACACCAAGATTCTGAGAAGGCCGATGGCATGTTTGCTACATTAGTAGTATACCTTCCCTCGAAGCACGAAGGCGGAGATCTCATTGTATCCCACCGTGGTACCAAGCTCGAATGGCGAAGTGCGCCATCCTCAGAGTTTAGCTTTTCCTGGGCTGCTTGGTATGCGGATGTTATCCATGAGGTGAAGCCGGTCATCTCTGGATATAGAGTGGCTCTGGTGTACAATCTGATCCATCGCCCGTCGCTTGGGGCTAGGATGCCCATTGTCCAGACAGACAGACTGGCCATTCTCTTAGGATACTGGGCTTGTCGCATTGACGAAAAGATTCACCCCGACTACCCAGCTTGGGATCGTTATGTCGATGACTGCTGCCCGCCAGCACTCGTCTACGCTCTCGAGCACCAGTATACTAGTGCGGAGCTCAGCTTTCATCGACTGAAAGGAGTCGACCAAGCTCGTTTTGCACAACTGCAAAATGCGTGCCAGAGGCTTAAGTTCGACATATACTTCGCCAATATTGAGAAAAGAGAAACTGGCGCAGCTGAGGAACCATACAATAGCTGTCATCGGAAGCCTTACTATGAGATAGACGTGATTGAGACCAATCTAGAGTTCTTAAAGGTAGTGGATGCGCTCGGAACTGTTGTCGCAGAGCATCTGCCATTCCACGAGGATTTGCTTATCCAAGACGGGTTCTTTTCGAATCGAGACCCGAATGATGGAGAGTACCAAGGCTTTACAGGAAATGCGGGTGCCCAGGCCACTCATTTTTATCGAGCGACAGTAAGTCAAGCTTTCGGTTCCCACATTCGATGTGTTCTGTGTATGTTCGATCCTCAAAGTCATGGGGCGCCATAATCGTTCCAAAGGCTTTTCGCTTTTCGTTCATACTCCATCGGTTGAAGAACTCCACAGATAATGGTGAAGAACTTCTAGATGAGTGCCACCGTTCCGTCTCAGAATGTCTTGATGAAGGTTTTACGCAGTGGGATCTGGTCCAGACCTGCAAAATGACGTTACAAAAAAAGTGGCTGCCATCCGAGATGATTGACAAGGTCATGCAGATAGCCATTGACGTTGATGACGTGGCTCTATTTTGCCAAGCCGTTGAATCTCTTCACGGAACTGTTTCGCCCTCTCAAATTACTAACATCGCGAATGTCATGGCGAAACATGGACTCGAAGCTGTCCGCGAAGCGTATGTTCACCTATACTATGTACAGCGTGTACGTCCTGACACTTTCTAGGGTGGAGCATGTATTTCAGGTCCAACGCCGTTCTCCCATGATCCATAATTTGATTTCTGAGCGATACGCCTGGCTTGATAGCTTGGTCCGGGAATATATTGAGATTTGCGAGGAACAAGACCGGGAGGTATCGCCCGACGTGCTCGATTGGGACATCACTACTGCCAGTAAATTGATTTCCATACATTCGAGGGACACAGCTCGTGGTGGCCACGAACTTGCGATGTTCCTAACCACTTTGCCCCGGGAGAAGTTATTCACAAGGTAGATAGACGCCTACTGTTTCCTGACTTATCACGCTAACAAGAACTAGAATCCACCCTTTCCTGGAAACTAAGATTGGGGACAGCGCTTTTCTTGCCTCTTTCTTTGTCTCGGCCTATGAAAACTCCCGTACTGATGATCTCGACCTTAAAGGTGCGGTCGATGCAATGATCAAATATCTTTTTCCGCCATTTGCTCGCGCTTTCCATATTGTACACGAGCATACCTTTGCCTACTCCCGGAAACATACCTTGACTTTCAGCGTTAAACCGGATACGGTTGTTAAGGTGCTCCGGATAGGTAGTATTAATGACATCGATACAACGGTATTATTCGATACCCTCACGGAGTTTGCTCTAAATCTGCGAGGAAACGACATGGGTCGTGTTTTCTCCGACTTTCTGTTGCCAGTGGCAAAAGGTGTTTGCGACAACGTCATTACGTCCCGGAGCCCTTCCACCACTAATCAACGACGATTTTTTAAACATTTTCTGAACAAATATGTGGTTGACTATGTCCAGTCTCCTCCTCTCGTGCCACCCGACTACAAGATCAAGACACATATAGACTGCCGCTGCCTTATCTGTTCTAAGCTTCAGCTAGGGAATTTCATCGAAGATCCCGCGCAAAAGGCCACGGATGTTTTCATGGCTAATTCCGACAAGAAACACTTTGATCGCTATCTTGACGACGCTTATTTCACTAAAACCCTTATCGGACCTCCTCGCTCGGGCATGCTGCGAATAGGAAAAACGGATGCGTTGATGGCAGTTTCCCACTTCTACGCATGGAACAAACGAGCTGTTGAGGCAAAGAGTCAGCTGGAACAGTTGAATCTGTATAGCTCTCTGAAAGAACTTCTGGGAAATAGTTACTATTCCTTGATGAATCACCCCAACCTTACACTTCCTGATGGGCATCCTGCAGCTATACCAGTTGAGGCTCCGGATGGTTATCCTGTGCTAGGGAGCGTGGTTTCGAGTAAGCGTCGCCAAGAGTGGTGATCTACACCTCCCCTGAATATGTTGCAAATACCCGTCGGGCAGAGGGACTTTGGATATGTTTGCTTTGTATATCTTCTTATAATACCCTATGCCATTTAATTTGATGCTATATTTCTATTACCAGATAGGCAATTAATATGCGACACCCTGAACCTGCTGCATGTGCTAAGGCTTTACATACAGCCTGCGTTGACATCCCTAGTTTCCGTACAAAAACACGTCCTACTTACCATCATACATATCCCGGTAGATTACCACATCACCTCACCGCGCCACGGCATACTTCATCCATAGCGGATCATTAAGCAGTCTCTCCAAACATCCATCCGCCACCCCAACCAGAACCTCCATTCCTCCCTCGCGCGGATTCGGCAACACCACCTGCAACCCATTGATGACCCCGACATGCGGCGCCCGCACCGACTCAATATGTCCTCCTAATAGTGTACCCCAATCCAGATTATACAATGCAAAGTCGACCCACGATGTCAACATGCAATTGAACCCAGGCAGATCAACCAGTGACGCCGGGAATATCTTCCTAATGTCGTCGAGCTGCTCAATCAAGGAAATGACGTCGTCCGTGTGCTGATTGCTCACACGGTGCAATGCCTTCCGGATCAAGACAGCTAGATCGGCCAAGTGGGCAGAAGTGAGCATCTTGCGCACGGGCATTGACACACCGATGTATTCGAGAAAACAGCCAAGCGTGTTCGGGTGGACGGGAGGATCAGTTCGTAACCGGCCATTTAGGGCGACGTTGAAGAATGATTCTTGATCCTGGTTGACATTCTCTAGGGTTTCTAGCGGCCACTGGACGGCCATTACCGTTCGCCAGAGCAACGCGGACAGGGCATCGTTCGTCGATATCCACGGCACGTCTGTTGGTTCCGATGCATTCTTGGGTGATGCGTCCATCTTCAACGCAGCCAGAGCCTCCAGCGAGAAATAGAAGACTTGAGCTCGGTGGTTCTTCGCCAGCATCTTCGGCGGCAGGCCTTCGGGTGGCTTGAACGGGAGGACGACGTATTCCGGATGGTCTTCTATTCGGCCTGGGTTACGCCCTGAGGAGCGCATGACTTTCTCACGGTCTGTGAAAATGGCTGGCGGGAGTACGACAGGATGGATTATTTTCAGTCCCTGTGCGCGACGGCACTCCTCCGCCCAAATCTGCATCCATGTCTGGAATGAGGTGCCGTCGCCGGCCATATGCAGGATACACCATGTTAGAATCAGTCCGCCGCGGATAAAGTTGGCTTGGACGAGCGAGATGGGGAGGTGCTCGCCTGGGTCTGTTGGCCAGATGTCACGACGGCACAATGTGTCGGCGTCGAAGGCGTCCACGGGAAAGTGTCGGGCTCTGAGTTTAGCATAGCTTGGAATTGTTTCTTGCGTTCGTAGGTCCTTAACTAAAATTGTCTCTTCTGCATTGGGTCCTAGAATCTGCAGCTTCATTACACTGTCCTGTCTGGCGGTCGGGTCGGGAATCGCCTTGCAGGCTAGAATGGGGAGGCGCTGGGCTGCGCCGTCGTAGCCGGCTTTCAGGGCTTTGGACACATCTTCCAGCACGTAATCTTCGCCTAGGGGAAAGGTGAACACGTATCGCATGTAGCCTCGGGGGCCGATGAGTTCGAGCGGAGTGAAGGTTGGCACCTCGGGGGCGATGGAACCCATGGCTGTCTGCTGAGGAGAGGGCTAAAGATTGTCGGATTGGCAGTAGGCAAGGCTGATCCGTTCTTCTCTGGACTTTTTATCTGTCGCAGCAAGCAGGCAGTCGGACGGGATTTGCCCCTCTGGTTTATCTAGGCGTACAGCTAAGGGGAGATGGTTCGATTTGCAAAGAGTGCTAGTAGTGGGGATGAACAGAATTAGCTGTGCTCACTGCTACTTCCTCCAGGTTGTCATGATCATGACTACTATAGCTTCTTATGCTATTATTGCACATTATCCCTTTTCAGTAACTGACAACCGTCCTCCGGCCCGATACTACTGCATCGCCTGTTCGCTTGGAGTATCGGTTGAGGCTAAGGGCAAGCGAAGGAATCCGCCCCCGGTCGTGTGTCTCTGGGGCCCCACGCCGGCGACTAATTATCGGTCCGTGTCGCTGCTGTCAGCGTTGAGCTAAAGAGACGGTGGCTTGTCTTAATATCCGCTTGCAACGGGTGTCATATCCGTGTCTTTGTTGATTGGGTTGCATGTCTGGCCCCCAAGCTAGTCGGCCGATCTTATGATGCGCCATTCCCGCTGCCAGGATGCTCAGCCGTCCGTAGGGGCCATTCCTGGTCGCCTTTATACCACTGCTTTCTGGTTTAATGAACCTGCTTGTGAGTTTTTCTTGTCGCTGCTGTTGTTGTATTGTTGCGGTCGGCGGACCATTATGGCCGTGGATCCTGCCATTGTCGCTATATTCGGCGAGCCTCCGGATAATATTGATTTGACGGATAGTAGGGTTCAGCAGGATAATGCAGTCGTGATTTTTATTCTGTGCTTGGCTGTCATTTCGGTTGTCTTGCGCTTTGTTGCTCGGCGGGTTTTGCGCAATTCTCTTATGATGGATGATTGGGTCATTATTCTTGCATTGGTGCGGTGACATCTCTCCCAGAAATATATTTCGAAATGTATTAGCTAATTGTACTCGGTGTATAGATGTTTATATGCACGACTTCCGGTTTGAGTATCTCCGGTAAGGCCTGTTTAGCCATTGCAAGCTTTTGCTTTGTAACAATTGAAACTGACGAGAACAGGAGGCTTCTTCGGTGCCGGCAAACATGTCTGGGCTATCAGCGTCACCAAGCTGATGGCACTATTCAGGGTTAGCAGCACCACACATAGCACTGTAGCTCGTGCACTGACATTTCAGATCCTCTATATCTACGTCATGGTATACTCAGCTGTATGCGCCGCTTCCAAAGTCTCGATCCTCTTCTTCTACCGCCGCGTCTTCATGGCCTCCCACGCAGACCTTTCTCTGCGCATCGGCATTTACCTCGGCTTCTTCCTCACTCTATCCTACCCGATCATCATCTGCGTCACAATGGCCACGGCATGTAAACCCGCCTCTTACTTCTGGGACCAGTTCGGCGGTGCAAGTGGCACATGCATTGACACCGATACCTTCTTCTTAGCGCTGGGGATAATTAACATGCTCAACGATATCGTCGTCTTGTTGATTCCTTTCCCGCAGATCGCTAAATTGCAAATGAATCGCCGCAAGAAGGTCGCTATAAGCGGTATCCTGGCCGTAGGAAGTTTGTAAGTCTCCTCTCCTCTGTACCCTTCAAACCTAGTTGCACTAGGACTTATATTGGCTTGCAGTGCCTGCGTCGCCAGCATCGTCCGCATCTACTCCGTCGACGAATTCACCAAACGCAACGACGTCACCTGGACCCTCGGTCCCGTCTTCATCTGGTCAACCATCGAACCGGGGCTCTCCATCGTCTGTGCTTGCTTGCCTCATCTCGCCCCGTTGGTCCGGTTAGCGCATATCAAGCTCTCCTCAAGCCAGGATAGCAAGCCAACACATCCGAGTACACCGTGGCGGTCTCGGAGCGGCATCGCCAATGGGGGTGGCACGCCTTCAGCCGGTCGACGTGTGCATAGTGTCCTGTCAACCAAGTATACGTTTGATGGGCAGGATGATGAAGAGATCGGACTCACGAATCATGTTACGACGAGTACGAGTCTAAGGAAGCCGCACTCGATGGAGTCGGTAGAAAGGGAGGGGGGAAGTACGGCTGATCAGTCGATCATGGTGCATTCGAGTTTTGAGCAGTCTGTTTCGAATAAGTAGATTTATGCTGTTTAATTTAATATCACACTATCAATGAGGCTAACACATTTCTACTTTCCGCCTCACTCCCTCCTATGAACTACTGAATCCTAGCCAAAATCTCTTCGACACTCTCCACCTTAACCACCTCCTCCTTCTCCATCGCTCTCTTCACCGCATCAACCACCACCAACGCCCTCAATCCCTCCACAGCATCACACCTGGGCGTCTCCCTCCCCTCCAACACTTGCACAAAATGCTCCAATTGCAAATCAAACGGCACTCCCTTATCAACCTCAAACTCTTCCACTCGCAACTTCTCACTCCATCCCTTCTCCCCTTCCACCCCATCATAACTCCACCTCTTCAAATCCGGCACACTCAACGACCCCCGACTTCCCAAAACCCGATAAAACCCTCCTCCCTCACCACCCACCTTCGGAATAATGGGATTCTCACCCGTCCCGGCCTCGAAATTCCACGGCGACGGCGCACAATCACTCACCACGAAGGTACCCACCACCCCACTGGCAAATCGGAATGTGATCGCCGCGCCTTCTTCCGCCGTGTGGTCTGCATTACCATCTGGGCCACCGCGCTGGGGCAGGGTTTTCTCTGCGTAGACGCGCGTGATGGGGCCGAAGAGGTAGTGCAGAAGATCCACGTCGTGGATGAGATTGATGCTTAATACACCGCCTTTGGTCTTGTCGCTTCTCCATGAGGTAGCGCCGGTGAAGTAGGATGCTGGCTTGTAGAGAGTCCATAAACCTGATAGAGCGAGGATGGAGCCCAGGGATCCCGACTCGAGAATCTCCTTCGTTTTGGTGATGTAGGGGTTGAATCTCCGGTGGTGGCCGATCAGGATTTTCACGTCTGGGTGCTTCTGGTGTGCTTGGAGTAAGGGAAGCGCGGTGGTGATGGTATCGCTGATGGGCTTCTCGAGTAGGATGTGGATGTTGTGGCTGATGAGTTCGAGAGCCACGGGGACGTGCGTGTGGTTGGGGGTGCAGATGATGGCGGCGTCTGGGTGCGGGAAGCTTGGTACAGAAGAGAGGAGGGCTGATAATGAGGGGAAGTAGAGCGTGTTGAGGGTTTTAGCCACGGATGAAGCGCTTGGAGAGGGGTCAACCAAGGCAAGAAGATTGGTGGAGGGGTTGTTGATGACGGATTGGGCGTGGCGGGGGCCGATGAGGCCGGCGCCGACGATGATAATGTTAATCATGGTATTTACAGGCTTCTGGGTGCAATTGCGTGAAGGGTCATGGGTTTGGTGCTGGTGAGAAGGGTGTTTTTATATCGGTGAGTCAAATTGGGATTCTGTGGTGGGTCTGCTCAGGTCTGGTCTGGGGTAAATGCAGTCCCTGACCGGGGAGTGGATCTGGATGCATATGACGCTGCATAGTAATGCGGCTGTGGCTTTGGGGCAATCGTGGTGGAAATTATGCCTGACATTGTGCTGGATAATTGGGGTGGCGTGGGAGGACCGGAGAAGCGCTTACCCAGTTACATAATGTGTTTTGCCGGTGGGGTGCGGGCATTGATGGACATGGAATCTGTTCCGGCGGTATCTCCGCCGCTCGGAATCTATCCCGTAGACTGCTAGAGCACGAGGGTCTGCACTACGATTAGTGTGTTTGGTGGGGTTTACCCCGCTGGTCTACATTGAACTGGGAGATATATTGTCCCGGTAATGCGGTAGAAGTGTATGAGTCTTTAATTGTTTATCAAGGTGGAAGAGAGGATGTTAGAGATTGGAAGCGGCAATTTCCTGTCCCGGACACACAACACAAATTCTCTCTGATAATGAAACTACAAACCAAATCGAAAATGACGACTGAGGATGAGGAGGTGCACTGGCTGTCCCCAATTACTCAGGGTAGTGTAGATTGTAATAATGGTCAAGACGAGGAGTGATGCTTTCGCGCATGGGAGAAAATGTGCAGGTGAGAGTAAGACTGAGGATACTGAAATACTGCACAGGATATTCTCATAGAGAAAACCTCTAGTTGACGGTGACGGTAAATGTTATCCTTATCAAGCGGCTCTAGTGCATTGATTTGGAATTCCGGTGATTCTCATAGTCTTCATCTTGGTAACCATTCAGGATCTGTATAACTTGCGTGAACAAGACATTATTGCTTGATGATTTCAACAACACACCACGCAACTGCTATTGTGAATCCAATGTTGGTCTTCTATCCTCTGCTTTTCACTAGCTCGGATGGCATATGCATGGCAAGTAAGGCCCTTGTAGGAAATTATCATTAATAGTTTCAATTTCCCCCAGCCGAGTGTGCTCCATGGTCCATATTGATGCATTTTGAAATTTGAAAGCGGTCATGGGGGCACCGCATGGTGAAGATCGTAATTATAGCCATCATTATATTCTGCATATGAGTTTCTCATGACAGGTGCTAATATGATCATTGCTGGTGTGGATGGTGAGGTGTGAAGGCCATGTATAATCGGTTACTATCGTGAACGACTTGAGAGCAATGCATCAATATAGCTGCAAATCTTGTGCTTCGGCATACCTAGGCCAAAGATATTGGCTAAAGAATTTCTAGCAATCTTGACGATGAAGCGGTCGTGGCTGAAGGGGTATTGCCTTTGATCGGCGGTGTCGCCGTGTGTTTGTATATTCTGTCCGAATAGAACTGTACATAAGGCCTGAGGGGTATTAGAACAATATTGCAGGATAATCCGGAGCAATTGGGGGAATTGCTTGACCTAATGGCTTGTCACCCCATTTTGCCAGGGTATTTGTCCCGTGAGATCGATTCCAGACCAAGCTACCATTTGTGCAGCCTCCTGCATTCATGTAGGTGTCCGCATTCTCTTCCTCAAAACTAGTTAACTTCAACCAGTGCTCGGATAATCCGCCTTCGAGGGAGCCATCAGTCCATGTAATTATTCTCCATAGTCGACACCTTCACATCCTTCTCTTTATCCCCTACTGCAGCCTTCTCATTGGTTTACTCTCTTTTGTCCAAACAGTGATAGTAGCAACTGAAGTGGGCATTGGAGTCGAAAGTGCCCCCTCCTCAGATGGGCGACTCAACACCGAAATCCCCCGGACACGTGGCATAGTGGCCGAATTGTGCGGCCAGCTTCAGGCGAGCTGCCAGTCTGCATTGGCCCATAACTCTTTAGCTGTCTATCCAGGCGTTTATCAATTGTGGTCAGGGTGACGTTGCGGACAGGCCCGAGGGCTTGCTGTAGGAGTTGATATATTGGAGAAATCCCTGAAGAGGAAGACTTAAGTTTCTGGCCGCTTGCATGAAGCAATCGCTCCTGTACTTTGCAAGCAATTTGCTTCTGAAGACAATATTCGGTATCGACTTATAAAATGTAGCTTTGGAAAACAGTGGTATATACAATGGAAATGATAAAGATTTATGTCAGCTGCAACTTGTATGACAGGAGAGGAAGCCTCTTTATATACACTTAGGCCCTTGGGTGACTTTACTCTGAACAGGCATAATCCGTAGTCCACTATGTCAGTCACTACATCCACAGGGATTGTGTTACAGGGAATTCATCAAGTGTGTTCAAAGCAACGAACATGTGTTCATACATGTCCGTCTTGTGAAGAAGCGGGTCTTATTTATTATGCGGATATCCTAGTCGGCGCATTAACGGTGCCATGGGTCAAGGACGGAAGGTGAATGAGAAGGCAGGATCAATTGCCGCCATGCAGGAGCAGTGGTTGGCACAGAGCGGCATAGTCAGTAACTAGATGCACTTGTTCTTGTTTTCGAAGTAGACCAGGTTCCTTTCCCTATCATATAGGTACTGCCACTGAGAGGTTTAGAGCTAGGTATTGAATTCTGTATTCTATAGAGGGTTTGGCCAGAATATGTTTGCCTGAGGCCGCAATAACCGGCGCCAAGATTCGATCTCTCCCTTCCTTCCCAGCTCACCATCACCTCTTAGTATTCAGTCATCATGTCTGATCAGCAGCTTCTTCTTGAACGACAAGCTCGTCGACATGCCTTGGCCAAGATTGAGGAACACATCAAGCAAACCACTAATATGCAAGTCGAACCAAGCGACCTGAAGGCGGCTGGTATCCGCCATTTTCCTTTGTCCCTCGAGGGTGCCAAGGACCGGCCGTCTTTCTTCAGACCGTACGAAGAGGAGCTGCCTCTTCCAGTTGAGGAAGACGAATTTCTTCAGATTGAGCTGACCCCGGATAATATCATGTGGGACACTCGTGCGTTGGAGCTCTTCCTCTTTGACCACTTCCATGACTGCAGAGGGTCTGCCAAGCGCGAGTATCCCCAAAACCCTCCGTATGGTGTGTACCGAGAGTATGTGACTTCTTTCCCCACTCTTCCGGTATGTTAGCTGGCTCTCTGACTATATCATCCTAGAATTGGAGATTTCAAGTTTGGCCAATTACTGGAGTGTGGGAAGTTTAACTGGTATGCTGTTTCGGTGACTGATTACCCAGACGAGAACTTGCCCCACATCAAGGCAATAGTGGAAAATGATGCTATTGGTGATGGTAGACTACTCCGTGGAGAAATTATGACAATTACAGACATCATGAGGGCCCGTCTAAGAAGCAACACACTACGACTGCATATTGTTGCTCCGGTACAGTCTCTCTCTGACAGATTCAATCAAAGGCTTCTACTAACCCTAGTCTTATAGATGCTGGTTCTTTCCCTCATGGGCCCCCGTCATGCCCGTGTTCTAGAGGCCGATTTTGATGGAGCGATGCTTAACATCCGTGCTTCGAGGTTGTATGATTTCACGCGGAAGAACACAGATGCTGTGCAGCTGCTGACGCGTTATTGGCTGGGTGGGGCATGCGGCCAGACCACGATGAAATCCTAAGTCGGTATATTTGATTCTGGCGTTCAGGTTTGGCGTTGTATATGAAATGGGATGGAACATGGGCATTGATCACGATAATATGGATTAGCTGACTGATAACGAGCGTCGTTCTGGCAATGACGTCGACATCTACGAGTGAGGTATAATGGGAAAATAGTTTGCATTCATCATGCTCGGGAAATCGAAATTTCAAGAGTACATGCACAGAGAGCACCTCTACTAGAGATAGGCTATAGTATAGTAGACTCACTTGACATCACCAGTTCGTCCTATTGATTTCTGTCCAGCTGGTTGTCACGTGCTGTTTGTGCCGAATGCGGCAATGCGGAGGAGATGGCGAACCGCCTCTCTGATTGGTCAGCTTCCGAGAGGGCGAGGGAGGACCTCTAAAGCCTCGGTTGTTTTTAGATGATACTTGCACAGTTGATAGATCAAAGAGATGGACTGTGAAGTGTCAAGGGCGTTGATCAACTTTCTAGAAAGACTGACCGGGCGGTAACACGTGGATGGCCTGATCCCGTTCTGATTGGCCCACAGGCGGGATGGCAGGTGCACCGCCACGGCTCCGGCTCGACTTTTCTTCTCTCCCTGTCTTTCATCGCATCATCGGGCTTCATCCATCGCACACCCAAATCGTCAGGATGCGCTGCGCTTCCCCCTTGGGATCCCCGTTGATGTCTTCTTCATTCCAGCTGTGCCCATAATCTTCAATCCGGCCTCCCCCGCCCAGGGATGGAGCCCGCCCCGCTGGCTGCAATCATGTCATCTGATTCGACCCCCGACCCCCGGCTGGAGAAGCCCCGGCCGGCAGCGATCAGTCGCATCAACTTCTTCACCTCCCAGCTAAATACCTCGATTGAGGCCTCCAGTATCGAGGACTTGTGCTCTGTGTATAAGCCCTTTGACCTCCTTCTGGAGACAGGGGCCCACAGTGGCCTATGGTGGCTTGATATCACGGCTCCAGCGGAAGAAGACATTGAAGCTTTAGCGCGATTCTTCAACCTCCACCCTCTGACTACGGAGGATATCAAAACCCGTGAAACCAGAGAAAAGATCGAACTTTTCGGTCACTACTACTTTCTCTCTTTGCGACCGCCGCGCCGACTCGAGACGGACACTGGGGTACGCATTGTCTCGCACAACCTCTACGCCGTGGTGTTCCGGGGCGGCGTTCTCAGCTTCAGTTTCGACCCCAGTCTGCACACTAGCCATGTGCGACAGCGTATCAAGGAGCACAGCAGTCATCTGCTGTTGACCAGCGATTGGATTTGCTATGCCCTGATGTAAGCCCCACTACTACTGTAGCTCTGTTACGGCGATGTATTGACGCTTGACAGTGATGACATTGTTGACGGCTTTGCCCCGTTCATCAGTCGTGTCGAAACTGGTGTTGTGACAGTGGAAGACTCCGTCTCCATCACTCGACCGGACGACATGGGACTAGCCTTGCAGCGTATCTTCAAACTGCGCAAGGAGGTCATGAACATTCGTCAGCCGCTGCACGACAAGATCGACGTCATCCGGTCCTTTGCGCGGCACTGCGATATCTCCGACACCTCGTCATCGCAGGTTGCCCTGTACCTTAGCGACATCTGCGATCACGTCGTTACCATGATTGCCAACCTTGAGCAGGCCGAGCAGATGCTCTCGCGGTTGCAGTCCAAGTACCTCACCCAGGTTCACTTCGATTCCGGACGCATGCGCAACGGTATTGCATCGGCACTCAGCAAGCTAACGGTTCTTGCATCTATTCTCGTGCCGATGCAGTTCATCACGGGTTTATTCGGAATGAATGTCAGAGTGCCAGGGAAGACGCATGATGGGGACAACTCACTCACCTGGTGGTTCAGCATTCTAGGTTTCATCCTCGGACTGACTGTAATATTCGCCTGGGTGGCCAAACGGATCGGACTGCTGGATCGATAACTGCTACACATACATACTATGTTGCATAGAGGCTACATTTTCATCGTACATATTTAATACCATATACCTAATGCTATACTATTTCCTTGGCCGAATCCCCTTATTCACGCCCTAATATCCAGCCCAAGCGCCCGCTGGCTTTCCCGCACCTTATCCATCAACACCGCCATGTCCTTCTCCGTCTCATTCCACTCTTGCTCTACGATCGCCTTGGCCTTCTCACTGCGCGGCACAAACAGCGCCTCAAATGGTTCCGGTGTCGACACAAAAGCTGAATCAAACGCCATATCATCCACCGGTACCGGTTTCCCATCATCTCCCAGCGGCGCCTGAATATCAAACGCCCAAAGAATCCTAGCCATTAGTAGAAACAACGAGTTCCTCGCAATGTGCCGACCCGTGCATATCCGCCGCCCATATCCAAAGAAATTGCGAAACCGGCCATCCTCCTTCCCAGTCGCCTCGAACCATCTCTCCGGCCGAAATTCCAGCGGATCATCCCACGGATCATCAGTCAGACACATCGACCAGAACAACGGAATCACCGTCGCCCCCTTCGGAATCCGATACCCCATATAAGTATCCTCCTTCCTCGCAGCATGCGGTATCCCACCCGGCGCCATCGACCTCCACCGCAACGTCTCATCCACAACTGCCTGCACATACACCAACTTCTCCTGATCCTCAAACGTCGGCATCCTATCCTCACCCACCACCTCATCCAACTCCTTCCTTGCGACCGCTACAAACCGCGGATCCGTCCGAATCGCCAACACGAAGATCTTCATCACCGCCCACGTCGTCTCAAACCCCGCATCCACCAAAATTCCCAAATTATACGCCAAATCCATCCGCGGCATCCCCTCCGCATGCTTCGACGCCGAGAACTCCTTCGACCAATTCCACGCCTCACTACTCAACCCCTTCTCCAGATGTCTTGTATGCACACTCGCCTCGAGCCGAAACAACTTCTCCGCCAGCCTCTTCCACGGCGCCACCGCCGCCGGCAAGTAATTCAACACCGGAATCGCATCCACAATCCACGTGCCCACTCTCGCTGCGTAGGTAAAATTCCCCTGAATGGTCCGCATATCGCGCAACTCCTGCCCCTTTGGCGAGTGAAGTCGGAATCCGTACGCCAACGCGAACATCAAACTCCCACTATATCTCTCGAAATGCGCATCGAAGTCATTCGACCGCAACAAATCAAACATGAGCTGCTTACTCTCCAGGTCCTGTATGGGGTGGTAGGTATTCGACGCGCGGGGACTAAGCAACGGAGCATCCAGTCGCTGGTGAAGTCGTAACCAGTCATCGTATTGCCGGATGAGCATGTGCAAGCCCTTGGTGATGTTGTTCGCCATGACGAGGTCTGGGCGATCGGCGTAGATGCTGCCGCGTTTGTCGAGAAGATCACGTGCGATGATGGGTGAGGTGATTAGGATGAGGGTTTGGCGCCCAAATTGGGCGGACATTATAGGCCCGTAGGTTTTGCTCCATTGGTCGAACACTCGCCACGGCAGGGTTTGAGGGGCTTGGTGCAGGTTGCCGATTAGGGGGAGGCGACGTGGGCCTGGGGGAAGGTTGCGGTCGCGTTTGTATTCGTAGAGGAGGTGGAGGGTGAAGAGGGCGAGGAGGGTGAGGAGGATGGTGGGCATTGTGGTGGTGTGGATGGATGTATAGGTTGGGGAATTAGAGTTGGGCTTTAGTTGGGGGAGGAGATGTGCTTATAAGGTGGTACTATTCTTATATACTAGTGTTAAGTAGACTCTTCCCCTCTCTGATCACAACGAGCAAGGATATTTCTCAACACTACCGCTCGACTCATGAGGGGGTTGCGAGAGTCTCGGTTACGTTGCAATGACAGCCTTGCATTAGATTGTGCTTCGGGCGGGCTGAGGAAGGCCTATTATGGTAGTGGGGAAGTCTAATATGGACAGTGGTAGGAGCAATATCGTCACGCTAGCTGTTGGATGGCTACATTTTGGTGTCACTAAAACGTCCATGCATGGCCACCCCCTCCATCGACACAGTTGTGCCGTCTGACGACCCGCTCAGCTGCATTAGTGCACTGACGGGGCGTCTGTCACTTGACGCACGGCCGTTGAGGGACAAGGACTGGCTGTTGAAGAATTGTAATCGGGGTTTATTATTGGTGGGTGTGTGATTTGGGCCGTTCTGGGCTATATGGTGTTTCAAGGCAGGATTGCAGGATAGAAGCCCTAAGGTCTGGTATTATTAGATATATTTAGCCGGTAATAAGATTCAGACTAGCGGGACTGTGATCCATAATGTTTGGCAAGAGAACATTCAGATGTTAACGAGCATAGCATTGAGCCATCAATATGTCAATATCTTACAATTGATGTTGAAGAAATGTGCAACAAGATTACGAGGCGCAGAAACATAATTCTAGACGTAATGTAAAGCGAATGTGCCAAAAAATGTCATCTCGGTCTCAAGGTACCTCTAACTAAAGTCCATATCCCCCGTCAACAACTAAACCTGCTCCATAGACGTAGCTGCTCATAGGTGATGCCAAGAATAAAATCGAGTCTGTGATCTCCTCCATATCGGCTACTCTCCCTATTGGTGAACTCTCGACTTCTTCCTTAAAGACCCCCGAGTCTACTGCATCCGATATCATTGGCGTATACACAAATCTGTATACTCTTCAGGAAACTGCAATGGAAGTAGCAAGGAAACTTGATATACCCTGGACAAACGGCATTTATGCGGATTCCACTCGAAGCGTAGTACTTAGCATCCTACGGTAATGATCAGCTGAGGTGAATGATATTGGAATTCAATGGATATTACAACCATTTTCGTAAGTCCCATAACGCCTATAGATTTGTATAAGCCATAAACAAAGTATACCATGAACTTAGGAAAGCTTGCCGTGTTTCGAGGATACATATGCGGGAAAAGGCATACCCGTAGCCGAGGCAGAAATGCCTAGAGAGGAGCAAACGTTAACAATAACCCCACGACCACGTCGAGTACCACACGATCTGTAAATTATCAGAATGTGCATCTATACCCATAAAGCTATGATCGTTTCATACGTCTGAGTAAGCATCTGCTGAAGAAGTGCCCTCTGCGACAGCCACACACCCGTCTGGTTAATATCAACTGCCCGCTGCCAGTCCGTTAGGGATGATTGATGTGTGGGCTTTCCTGAATCACCAACTCCAGCGCAGTTAACTCCAATATCCACGCGACCGAAATTGGTGGCGACCTTCTGGACCGCATTGTTGACTTGTGCTTCGTTCGTCACGTTAAGAGATGCGGTTAGCAGCTCCACATAAGGAGATGTTTGTTTCAGCGACTCGGAGACTTTTTGAAGATTGGAAGAATTGATGTCGACTAACGCTAGCTTCGATATTCCGTTTTGAATGAATTTATGAGCCACGCCGGCTCCGATACCTGTTATTAATTCAGCTTCGCTGGTAGATACACGTGGTACTCTCGTCCTACCAGAGCCTGCTCCAGTGATGAAGGCTGTTCCGCGTAGAAGATGAGCCATGGCAGTCTGTTTCAGATACTATTGGATAGGACAGAAACTCAGAGCAAAGGCTCAACGGGGCTATTGGGGATATCTTGTGAGACACTGGCTTTGCTTAATCTTTATTGGTACACTAATGCCCACGAAGATCCCTACGTACAAATGCCATTCAGACCTCCAGAGCCTAGGTACACAGCTCGTACAGTTTGCCTTTTCTCATGTAAAATGTCGTCATCGTCCTACCTTGCGTTTCTCGCTACTTTTAACCCCTCGCATTCCCGAAGTATCGTAGCTGGGGGGCTTTACCTGCAGGGGAAAGTATTCAAATCTACATAAACTACTGCAAAGGTAACAATACATCCAGGATGATAAAGCGGCAAGTCCCACTTCCTTTTCTAGGATAATGCGCAACTTCCTATTTCGCTTACTTGCAGGGTGCGCTATAACGTGACGAATGTGGTATTGATATGTTTAAATAAATGGCACTCGAATGGAAAGCCTGCAGTTGTGAAAAAGCAGCAGTCTGAGAATGAACTGTAAATGGTAAAAGTTTCAAGCTTTCTTGCATCAGTTTATTAACGATTATAATAAAGCTCCTAAGCTTTTGTACGAGGCATATAATGGTGATAGACTAGTAAAGAGCCCAAAGATATGTATTCAAGACCAAATATCTCAAACAATGACGATATCCCCCTTCTCCCACGGGTGCTCTATCTCAATGGAACGAATAAACAATTCATGCTCTTTACTCCTTGGTGTCATGGAGATTTCATAAGCCTTAGGGTGGCTGATTACTCCAGGCAGATAATCCACAGCGGGTTCGATCTCCCTTCCATCCTTGACAAGCTTACCAATCCGGAAAGCCTGCAACGACCGCACGACAGTAAGGAATATGGTGGAGTCAGCAAACCCACGACCGGGACATATTCTACGACCAAATCCAAAGGCAAGGTTATGGGGATCATTCTCTGCGTGATGGGTCTCCGTGTCCAGAAATCTCTCGGGGTTGAATGTCATCGGATCTGAGTAGACTTTTGGGTCATGTAGAAAAGCCCTGGAGCCCCAGATGAGGATGGCAAGAAAAATAGTAGATACTAGTTAACTCACCATATATTTGGGATGATGGTTGCATCCCTTGATATCCGATATCCTTCATATACATCTTCCTTCGTACAAGCATGTGCAACGCCAAGAGGAGTAACAGGATTCCACCGGAGGACTTCTTTGATGACTGCGTTGGTATATGGCAGGTTTGCGCGATCTTCTGTTGTGGGGAGACTGGTCCCTACAGCGCGGTCGAGTTCTTCTTGCGCTTTGGTCTGCACGGCAGGGAAGAGGGCCATGGCTAGGAAAAAGGATGATAAAGCGGATACCGTCTACGTTTGTCAGTCCGACCCTAAATGTAAACTATTTCTTCCTAATGCTTAATGACGGTATACTGACCGTATCTGCACCAGCTCCGTAGAGTGTCGCTGCCGACCATTTGATTTCCGTTTCCTCCTCTGGACTGAGGTCGGGTTCCGCCTGAGTGAGTTGCTTGGAAACGTAGGATGGCTGGAACGTCCGGTTCTTTATTTGTTGTTGGACGAACGCGTACGGTTTCCCAGTCAGTTTATCCAATGTGGATCTCCATTCGCGGGCTGTAGTTTGAAAGCCAGCTCCGGGCACCCAGGGTGGAAGATATTTCACTATGACAACAATTGTTAGGTTCTGTTGGTGCGGAGAGTCCATACATACATAGAGGGAAACTATCCACAAGCCATGTTCCTGGCGTATGTGCTTTTCCGAATTGCTCGGTCGATGTATCCGCAAGGTCAACAAGAGGATCACGGCCGTGAGGCTGCGTGGTATACCCGTAGACGATTTTCAAGATGGTAGCTCCTGTTTGGTTGTTTCAATCTGTGAGCTACGTGGTGCTGGATTATACGGGCATCATATATACCTTCTCATATGATCCACGAGTCTTTCAGGGGATTGGAGAGCCCGAAGAAGAAATCGCCGAGCTTCAATATCCTGCTGAGTGTAGAACGATGAGAGGGCATTAGCTGAACCCAGGTATTGGTGGATCCGTCTTCGCTGTCCCCGAACATGGATAGGGTTGCGCTTCATTGTGACCATGCGCTCCCATCCCGCCCTATCCCCAACATTGAACATTCTTAGCGCAATGGACTAAGTTGTAGAATGATCACGGTTCAGAACTCACAATTCACAGCCAAAGATCATGCGAGGCCGGGATGAGTACTGCGACGATCGTTTTTCCAGAAGATCAATCGCAACCTTAGCATCATTGATGATGATTAGAGTGGTTCCCGGCGTCCACACAGAGCTGATAGGGCCTGGTAATTCAGCTTCAATAGACGGATCCAAAACTCGTACGAGATTGACTTACCGTAGATATCTTTATGCTTTAACCAGTGCTCCCATTCTCTACTCCCATGCGGCGGGAGATCGAGTATATTACCAACCAGGGGCAGACCCTTCGGCCCTGGGGGCAGTGGAAGTGCACCTCGCTTTGGGAGGTGGCTAAGTCTGACTATATAGAGAGCTAAAAGCCCAAATGCAGAGGCATATATAAAAGTATTCATTGTCAATCTTCTCCATTCACACTAATCTGTGGTGAAAGACAAATGAACAAAAATCATATGATAGCAAAAGCTTCCAAGACTAAGATGGAGTAGAGAGGAAATGTGCAGAAGAGAGATTCTGCACTCGATATGTCTAGTGCCATTGGTCATACCATGCGAAATGCAATCAGGAAGAGAGTATGACAGGATTTGTAAGGATTGCCAGGTTAGCTTGGGTACAGAAGTTTCCTCCTTCCCGTTTTCTGAAGAATGCATGCCCACGCTGCCATAATATATCGTTTGAAAAGGGTATCGATGTGATATATATGGAGATCATATGATTCTTTGTCGAAATCCTATCGGCTGGGGCACTGTGTGTGCAGAGAAAATTCTAATAGGAGCCTATCTGGGGGAGAGTATCTGAAGGGGAGTGGGATTATGTCAGAAGTATGGATACGCTGAGTGTTCCATCGGACGATACAAAATATCTGCCGAGGAAGCAAGGATGCAGCTTCGGCAAGGGGACCATCCATCTGATTTGAGCTGTAATTGTACTGTAACAAGAGCTGTTCATGGGCAATAATTCATCATATCATCTACGCCGTGCTAGGCACCAAGCAACTATTCTGCATAGGTTGTGCACATTCCAATGACGAAAGACGCTGTATATAGACGTCATATACCACACTGGCTTCAGTCCGTAAGCTCCTCTTCCCTAGTTCGCGACTTAATATAATTCGTCTCGATTCACTACATTTTCCATGCTAACACTGCCTCTCAAAGTACTACTCGCGGCTCGAGGCTAGCCTTACATGCAAGAAATGGCAATATCTTGTCAATAGCTGCGGAGGCTTTGTAGCGAATTTCCTCTTGACCAGCCTGGCAATGTCAAGGAAATTTCCCCGACAGCAACATGGTGTGATGCAGAGAGAGTTCACACTCATTGTTTGACTTACTTGAACAAGTCTTAAGTAGCGAGTGTATTAGCCATGATATTGGAGACATTGTAGGTCTCTTACTCAGCTGCAATTACGAGTCGAATCGGCCTGATTCCCAATCTTAACCCAGCCACCCCGGACCTCCAACTCTCCAGCGCTGCAGCCGGATTTCCCGTCTTCATAGTGCCCGCATGCCTACTCGCCGCTTTGACCAGCGACTACGGCTCGGAGCTTACACACTTACTGAAAGGCATACTCTGAATTACAGTGCTTCTCCTACGACTCTTATTTTGTGCGCGAAATTGGATGACTGCCTGGGCAGTGTTCTCTGACATTACGACATTGCATGAGCTCACGCGTGACAGTCGTCTCGAATTTATGCGACAGGCCTTGCCTTACCAGAAGCCCCGGTGTCCTCAGCTTGCTTCTGGTGACATCTTCACCACTAGGCACCCGAACTGTCATACCATGCGAAACAGTATCCAGCAAATAGCCCACTGCAGCACCGCAGCCCTGATCACGCTGTATATCTGATGAGGACTCAGAAGGTCCCACGTCACTTTCTCCACCCATATTTGCATCAGACATGAAATGTAGTGCTCTTGGATATGGGGCGGGAGGACATTGCAAACAAAGGAATCCATGAATGAGGGAGTCAGCCAACGGCGAAGAGAGAATATGAGTGATGACAGTCCGGAGCTGGCTTTATCATAAGCCCTGATCTCTTTGACGGCCACATCCAATAGCTGTATGATTAGAGGTATATCGGAGGCAATGACGGGGGAGGATAGTGGATCAGCAGGTGACCTTCCAGGCTTCGTTTCCTTCGCCATAGCAATGCATGCGTTTGGAGAATTGACGATTCGGGAATAGAAGGCTGGATCCATAACCTCGAATTTCAGCTGCATGGGATCGTTGCCTTTTGAGTATTGTATAGATCTCAGACAGATTGTGGTTTTCGATACTGACTTGCAAGGTATGTATGTGACTTCCAAGTTCCCTGGATAAGAGGCAACGATGTGTTCGAGGTAGTTTCGGAAGAAGGTTTCTAGCGCCCTATTGAATAGGTTAGAGTCTAGCCCAAAACATCATGTGGGATTCTCAGAGATGCAACTTTCCTTTCCCCGTTAGTCGCCCGTCTCGGCTCGCTCCCAGGCCGTATATCCGGTCGGTCCATCATACTCATAAGGTTCATGATGTGAAGCCGAATAGCTATAGAGAGGATCCTCGGTGTTGTCAAGGTGATATTTACACTCCATGCCAAGAGGAGGCGGAAGATCTGGAAAGACGATGCGTGGCTCGGGTCAATGGGCGGTATCTTGCACCTAACCCTGGCTATCATTCTAGGACTTCCAGAGGGATCTAGAGTGGTCGTGTCTGAGAGAGAACGATTTGCTAACCATGATGCAGGCGCTACAGGATCCATGAACATGCTAGATACGGTTTCTCCGACCTTTTCGAATGGACTGGCGAAGATCTCTTTCTTCCAGGTCGCTTTGTAGGCGTAAGTGTCACGTTGCGGGTTCAGCGAACATACCCTTCCGCCCTTCTCTAAGTACTCCTCCTTAAGGTTCACGGGTTGTTGATGGTTCCCTGCTGTGTTTCCAGCATTCGTGTTCGTACGCTGTACCCTGAACAAGACGTTTCTTTTCTCATCAAATGAGTTGTTGATCTCCATAATCACCGCATCTAATTCCTTGCTTGGTGAATAAAGATACCACCATGTCACCACGCTCCGTTCCCACCACAAAAACCGCGGTACGCTCAGCATATACGCGTAAGGCCATTGATCAGGGTCTTCATTCTGAATATATGTCAGCTTAGCTCTCAGTCTCATAACATCGGACGGCATACATGCTCCATCAAAAATTTACGTAACTTGATCTGTAAGCTGAGTGTGCCATCTCCGCGGTGGAGGTATCTTGCCGAGTCAAAACTAAACCAGCTGGAAAAGAGGGACCTCAACCAAGCTAGAACTAGGGATCCCTCACTGCAATTTTTCTCATGCACATCTTCTGCATCAATGGCAAGCAGTCGCCCGAATCGGCAGCTGAGTCCTATCGGTATCCCGACAAATAAGACATTGAAGGTGAATTTGTTTTTGATTGGCGATAGGCGAGTATGGTCAAGCGTGGCAGGAAAAAGGAGAGGCTTCCCTATGACGGTCTGGTTTTGCTTTGACAGACACCTAATTTGACGCGAAGTAAATGAGACGAGGAGAAGAAAGCTCAGAAGACCGATGGGTGCTATTGCCAAAGTGGAGGCGAGAGTGGCTAGTATGAGATTTAGCATACAGGGCCACCCTCCCATATTAAAAGCCTGAATACTCGTGAAAAAAGCAGCGTGAAGCAGGTATTCATCGAAGGATAGTGGCAGTAAAAACTTTCGTGACACAGAACGCATACTGAAACAATTCATTTTATGTTATAGATCATATATGGCTGGTAACACCAAGAATGCCAAATAGGTTGGCTGAACTAAGGAGTAGGGATAATATCTTTTTACGTTCTTTTTTCTGTCTCTTTTATCTAAAGGCTTTTCGTCTATACGCCATGCATAAGGCCTTATGACGTGGTGCAGTTCACTCTGCTTCCACCGCCACGGTTCATGCAGATATGCGGTACAACACATCAGGAACTCTTGCATCCCTTTACATAATTGAATCTACCTGTTACATGATCTTGGTTCGTAGTTCCTTCTACTTGTGCATATCTCGCTGACGTAATAGACAGAGCACTCTCCTCACTGCTTGACTCATTTCAATCGTCAATATCCACGTCACAGGACAACTACGTTCGAACACGTGTTTTTCTCCCTTTGATTTAGAAAAGCAATAATCCCCTATCCTGGAGAGTCAGTCATTGTAAAATACGATCGTTCGATATTTGTAAGAAAAAGGGGATACGCTAGGCTGGTGAGATGAGGAGGTTGAGGATATGGTAACGGTGCAGCACAAACAAAATGAGCATAGATCACTGAGGTACGCAACCTAGGGGTACCAGAGAAATCGAAGCTCAACTACGGGACACGATCGACAAGGTGTAAATTTAGATACTTCTACATGATCTCATCCGGCTCTAGTCATCTACAAATTCTGCTTTCATACTCTCTGAAGGTATTGTAACTCAAATTTTCGTATCTAATCTAAATTTAAATGCACCCTTGCTGCTCTCCCGCTGCTCTCTTGAACCTAAAGACAAAAAGGGATACTTGCATATGCGGTCGACCAGAATAAGCCAGAAGACGCCCATTAGGGACTGCGACAATCCCATGGCTTTAAGGAAGTAACCCACACCGCCTTGGTCTATATAGCAAATCAGAGCTAGATTGCCATTGCTAAGCCAATGCATGGATTGTTGGCTCCGGGAACCCTTCCAAGCCCCGCTCTCCTGTCACCTTTGGTTTGAGGAGCTTATACACCCAAGAACGACATATTGTCCCCTCTCGAAGCAACAAAGCATATTAGACCGCAATGGAATTCAAATTGAAGTCCTGTGCGGATCACCGGAAGGGACTATTGTGGAGAAGGTGACTACTCGACGACTTGGCGACAATGATGTCTTTATCGAGACCACACATTCCGGCCTATGCGGAACAGACGAACACTTCCTCCATCGCGACCAAGCTCTTGGACATGAGGGAGTAGGTGTAGTAAAGCACATCGGTTCCAGCGTAACAAGTGTAAAGGTCGGTGACCGGGTTGGATTCGGCTTTATCCGACGTGTGTGTGGAAGATGTGACAACTGTCTTAGTGGTATGTTGATTATTCCACGTTTTCGTGAATGCAGACTTGAAACTAATGCATATGGGACTCGTAAGGTTGTGACAATCACTGCAGAGGAAAGCGAGCATATGGCCAACATGACTTCGACGTTGGATCATTCAGCCACGGAACTGTCTGGAATGCCGATGCCGTCTATCCCATTCCGGATGGATACGATTCGGCTTATGCAGCACCACTTCTATGTGCTGGTGCTTCGGTCTGGGCTTGTTTGACTAATAATGAAATCCGCCCGTCCGATCGTGTCGGTGTCGTGGGAATAGGTAGTCTTGGCCATCTCGCGATCAAGCTTGCTGCGGCACTTGGATACAATGTGGTGGCATTTTCAGGCTCAGAAAGGAAACGTGAAGAAGCGCTAGAATTTGGAGCATCAGAATTCTATCGCTTTCCCAGTACCCAGGGGCGTATCCGCATAAAACCCGTCAAACATCTTCTATTGTGTGGGAGCTGCGATGTTGACTATGCCTCGTAAGCATGACATTTACTGTCTAGATATTCCCAAATCATCTGACTAATGTTCATCGCAGTCTTCTTGATTTGGTTGATACGAATGGGGCTATTTATCATATTTCTGTGACCCTGAAACCTACCCCTATCCCTCTAGTTCCCTTCGGTCAGAAGGGGATACGAATTCAGGGATGTTTCATCACTTCGCGACGCAATCTGCAAGAGTTATTGGAGTTTGCTGCGCGACATATTATCAAACCGACTATCATGAATTTCCCTCTTACCAAAGATGGCCTTGAAGAGGCATTTGAGAAATTGAGAGCGGGTGGTATCCGATACAGGGCAGTCCTGGAGCACCAGGCATTATAGACCCGCACTTTGGCTTGAAGTCCATCCACGAGAGGAGGTATTTTGCGAATACCAGAAGATCTCGCAGTATCATGCTCTTAAGGTCTCTGATAATTTCTGGTACTTTTAGGTCGCATCTTCTTTGAATACCGAATAATGAGCCGATAGTATTATACATTCATGCGATTATGTAGTCTGTCTCGTCTCGGTCCATTGTAACAAAATTCTGAGTATAAATATAAGCTATGAAGTCCTGTCATTTCACTTTCCATATTAGCATCCGTCAGTTAGGTCCTGTCTTGAGGTAGCCTCGTGTGATCGCTATGAAGACACCCGCTGTGAAGCAGAGCAAACCTTGCGTAGCTTTGTTATTAAAAAATTCAATTTCCATGGTTTCACAAGAATACAACACATGAATATCCCATATTAGAGCTTATAGATAGGATGTACGTGAATGGGTAGATCATGCAAGGCTGAGTTTCAAGGCGGAACTACTCTTAACTAGTCAATTACACGGAAATCTCTATTCTCAGCGATCTAGATGATGGCAAAAAATCCTGAGTGATATGACTTACTGTTTTATTTTCTTTTTGACTTATTCAGAGAAGTTATTTAAGATATCTATTCCTAGCGAACAAATTAGATTTGACAGTCTGTCACGTTTCAAGAGAGAACTTGGGAGGAGTCAACCAACAATGGATGAGATATCATGAGTGAATAAAGATCTGGTAAGGCTTTACCGATTCAGTTCAAAGGCAGCTATTTGGAATTGCGGGCATGTTTCCTCTCTAAGTTAGGTCAAATATCAAAGATAAGCCGATAACTCATTAGGCCATTTGCTACAGCTATGATTAGAAAAGGGTTGAGTTTCGCTTCTGTTACCTGCGTCTTACACCGATAGGCACTGGTTAGTTACATCCATATCACGAAAAGGGTTCATATCGTGGTATATTGAAGATCTAATGATTCCACCGGTTAGAGCTTGTCATATGGTGAGTGTAAGTGCGAGACTAGTAATCAAAACCACGCTAGTACATGCGGTCTCGAAAGCGCCCGCAGACCTACTCTCTAATTCGCAGTCTGACACATATAATAACCTACCAGCTGCCGTAAATGCTAGATATGTAGATGGAAAAGGAAACTGAAGTAATTAGATTATATGATGAATGAATCAATCTACATCGAGTACGTCGACATTTAGCGAACCACGATACTTTCAGACATCCATCTTTATATTACCCCAATTGAGCTTTCCCCACAAGAACAGGTCTAGATCTAATTGTTATGAAAATCCAGAATATTAACTTCAATTCAAAACAAATAGAACCGGCGAGATGGTAAGAGGCGGGCCTAGACCATTGCAGTTCACTCGCACGTCCCCCTCATGTGCGAGTGGGACCACCCGAATGTGCCACTGCCGAAAGTCCACCCCTCCAGCCGCGGCGAGTAATGCAAGTGTATTCCAACCTCACCTGTTCCTATCCAATCCCCACAATCATGCCAGTCCTCTCCATCCTCCCCGCTGACGTGCTCTTGCATGTCATCTCCTTTCTCGACCACAGCGGAGATGTCTACTCCCTTTCTCTCCTCAGTCCCTCACTGTTCACTCTCATTCACGGCAACGACCTCGTAAACAAAACCAAATACCGCTGTATCCGCATCACCTGCACACCAGACCTGAAACATGCATATAGCATCCCCCTCGACATTCTGCGTGACCGTAACCTCGCCAGTTATGTTCGCCACATCGAAATGGATATTCCTGTTCGCTCTCCGCTGAACTACAAACCACGGGAGTACGACCGCCCTGTCGACCCAGGCGACATGCAGCGTCTCCGTGTTGCCGCCACCCGGGCTGGCTTCATCGGCCCTGAACAGGAGAGACTACTCAACATGGCCATGCAGGAAATAGACTATGCCAAGGACTGGCAGTATCTCACTTACTACAAGTATGTTCCCTATTACTATCATTACGAACATATCTAACCCCAGTCAGCACCCAAGAGGACGCCTATCACGGCAAATCCCCCTTCATTGCTCAGGCCCTGGCAGTCCTCCTCATCACATCGTCCCCAAACCTAACTTCTCTCGCCATATCTCCTCCCTTCTGGGAATACACATCCCCCCGATTTGATGACCCTTCCGACAACCACCATTCCGCCGCCAAGATTGAAAAGTACCCACTGGCCAAGTTCCTTCAACGCGCCAGTTTGGGTCATTTCATCAAAAATGGAGAAAAGAAAATCTCTTACTTAGCCAATCTCAAGTATTTCCAGATTCTAACTACAGAAGCCTCCAGTTTTCATATTGCGCGATCCCGCGCCTGCGCGCCCCAGGACCTCTGTCTCTGCATTGAGCTAGTGCGTACCCTTCCCAGCATCGAATTGTTACGGATGCAGGCCATTCAGGGATTTGGAACTGCGACTAGTGCTGCGCTGGAAGGTTTGCTTCTGCCCTCTTCGACGAATATCTCGCGTTTGGATCTGAGGGGGTGCGATTTCAAGTCGGATTTGTTGTGCAAGGTTATCCATGCAATGAAGTGCTTGAAGGAGCTGAAGTACTCCGTTGTGCACGGTGGATGCTATGCGGGCTTTGCGGAGTTCTTTGACCGGTACAGTCTGATCAAGGCTGTCTTGCGCCACAGGGCCACGTTGGAGGTGTTGGATTTGGAGTTTGATGATCATCTGTCTCATTTTGTCGCTGCTGGTGGAAGTGAGGTGCGGGAGGATGCTGAGGATGAAAGTGTGCTGAAGGAGTTTGTGTCGCTGAGGAGCTTGAGTTTGGGAGTTAGTTGTCTGTGGTATCTCGCTACTCGGATGGCTGAGTTGGGTGATATCGTCTTGGTGGATCATTTGCCGTTGCAGCTGGAGTACCTCCGCATCAGAGGCTACGAGAAGGGACATACGAAAGCACTGGACAACATGTTGGTTGGTATGGAGAGCGCGAGAGACAAGCACCCTGCTCTGTGGACAGTCCAAGGTATCAACGAGTATATTCCTGTAGGAAAGTAATTCTGTGTCCAGCATAGTTACCATAAAGAATGACAATATGAACATGTACATAATGAAACCCAAAAGATTCGACCAACTTCACTCATAAACCATCCACCCGGTGGACCCAATAACAATCATCGAAAGCATCACCGTCATCATCCCCGCCCCCGCCCTATCTGCCTTCGTGATCTCCAACCTCAAACCCTCTGGCACCGGCGCCGGCGCGGGTCCCGGCTCTCCTCCTGCCGGATTGCCTTTACTCGTGCCCCCTGTATCCTGCGTCACAGGAGGATCAACCCGACTGATCAACGTCGACTGCATCACCTCCAGGGCCGCCATCTGTATCCCCACATCATCCATCCCATCCCACTTCCGATCCGTCCACTTCAGCCCGCACGTCGCCTGCAGCTCCCCTCCCGTGCAGGTCTCCGCCGCGGCCTTGGCCGACGCCCGCAACTTCGGCATCACCAGATCGTAAGTGAACGGCGCCATCTGCGTTGTCGCAGCCATCCACCGCGCCAGATACCCCTTGAAGGAGCGCTGATCGACCTGGCATGTGTTGACGGGTTCACATGCCCGCTCGTACATAACATCGTCCTGAAAGAAGACGAAGCTGGCGTTGAGGATCCCTTCTGTCCTAGCCTTCCAGACAGGCGATTCAGTCTGCCACATCGTTAGCACAACACACTCTACCCAAATACCACAGAACCGAAGGGTAACCTACTAAGTTATACATGACAGCAGCCCCTAACAAATAAACCCCCGTATTATACGTCCACTCAATATAATTCCAATCCCCACACCCACTGCTCACATCCGCGCCATCCCAAAACCGATACGTATCCGTCATGAACCCTACCTCACCCGTCCAATCCCACACTGTATCCGCCCAGTCCGCATACGTGCTATTCCCGGTATATTTCGCCAACCTAGCCGCAAGATTGAAGAAACAGCCATTAGAAATCGTATTCTTATAAGTCCACCCATTATTAAACGTGAATATCTGCCACCGTAGCCCGCCGTTACAGGTGCTCGTGTCCCAGCGTGCGGCTTGCGTGTTGAATACGGCTTGCGCCATCGCTAACCACCCTGGACTTCCTGAGGAAGGCGGAGGGTCGGGGAAGTTTCTCTCGGCGGCGGACATGGCGGCGAACGCCCAGAAGGATTGGTCGTCGTTGCCTTCCGTGCGGGTTTGGTTGGCGGGCATAAAGGAACCGCTGGGCCCGGCTTGCCAGGTTATTCCTTGCGTTGTTATGTTGTTCCATGTGTCGTCGGAGGTGAGGTACCAGTATTCCACGAGGGCTGTGAACATGGCGCCGGCTTCCCACCAGTAATAGGGGTCCGGGAGGTTGCCTGGGTTGTCGCCGGGTTGGTTGCCCGTGTAGTGGGTTAGCATTTGGCGGGCGATGGAGTGGCAGGCTGCTTTGATGGAGTCTATTCAAATTAGTCGATTGGTGATCGTGAAGTAGAGGGTTATGAAGGGAGTGATACCTGGATCGTCAACATCGTAGTCAATGGCCTGCACGACTACGATGAAGGTATACAGGATGTGCCATATTCGCAGTAACATGGTGATGATGGTGGTGAAACTGATCTGCTCTGCCCCCTGAGCGGCAGCAAAGTGAAAAGAGAAAGGAAGGAAGATTGAGTTGTGTTGTTCGGTGATTTCCATCTACGCTACATTCCCATTCCCGCATCGGAATGTGGCATCTCATGCTTCCATAGAAACGGTCCCCACCTAACAAACCATCCAGGAACGCACCAATAGGGTTATATCTACCATTAAACTCGAGATTTGTGATGCAGTGTCAGGTCACACTGGATCTGGGGTTGGATTTGAGCCAATGGGCAGTAGTTTGGGTGTGGATGAGGGTGGGTGTTTTGGCCGGATCCGGCAACGTCGCATTCCTGGGGTTGTAACTTGTGCACTTTGTTATTGTGGCTTATTGGTTGGGGGGCTTATTGTCACATTTTGTCCTGATTATTTTGCTGCTTTGTTTGCTTGGTGGTACTCTGGGGTTAAGGAACCTGTGGTAGTGGGGGTGGGTTCGTTGGTAGATGATACGGGCGGACGATACCTTGCACTCAGCTTTGCAGTCGGGTGTACCGGTCGAGAGTACCAATAGTAAAACTTGGTTCATTAAGGTATTGCGTCCTCGATACTGTTGGGACCTGCACCCGCAGTTATCTTCAACTCCCGT